CCCCCCCCCCCCCCCCCCCCCATCAAACATATTATATATATGTGACAGGCCTCTCCCCATCCTGTTACACCTCCCCAATAGATGTAGGATATGTGTCCCCCCCCTTTCTTTCTTCCTCCCCTCCCCTCAAAACCTCCCCAACGGACATAGGATATGTGACAGGCCTCTCCCCACCCTGTAACACCTCCATAATAGACATAGGATACGTGTCGCCCCCTCCTTTCTCCCTCCCCTCCCCTCCCCTCAAAACCTCCCCTCAAAACCTCCCCAACGGACATAGGATACGTGACAAAGCTTCCACTGATCCCTGTCTCTGAGGCTCTTTGTCCGAGGCTCCGAGGAACGGGATGATTTTTTCCACACAAAAGGTCATCAGGTCAGATGTTACGACCCTGCTGAGTGCCCCGACACATCGCGCAGCCATGTGTCTGACAGCCGTATAGGAACACTGGAGACAGGTCAGTAGGTTGGGCAGCTTTTCGATAATCTGAAAAATTAAAGACATACAATACAATATGAGTGTAACTATTTCGAGTTTGGCAACAGGTTAGCAGCTCTTCCACCATTTTAATTAGAGATGAGTAACAGTACAATTTATAGGTGTGGGCGAGTGGCGTACTGGATAATACACTCGCCTTTCACCAAGGTTGCCAGGTTCAAGTCCCTGATCAGATGTGAATACTGAGTACTCCAGTTTCCTCCCGCATAACCCCCCCCCCAATGCCGGAATCGGGGCCAACAACAGTGATTTATAGAAGTTGAAATGACTTTTTTAATAATTGTTGTTGAATAAATAAAGTTTCTGTTTTTAACCATTTATGTTTGTCAGTGTTTAAACACAGCCATGACAGTATGGGTGGATTAGACAATAGCACTAGGGCAACGTAACATACAATTGACCATACTGACCATTGACCAGGTGCCTTATTGACATTCTAAACATTCTTACCTTTACAAGCCTTTCGTGAAAATTACAGAAGAAAAACTAAACAAACAGGTCACGTTGAGCACTACAGAAATAGCAAAGTGACAGATAAAAAAGAAAATCAATAATTAATCAAGGTCTCAAGGGCTGGCTGCCCTAAAATACCTAGAGATCATTCTGAGATGCTGTTTAGAGGTCAAACACAAATTGCTCTCAATGCTTGGAGTTGAACTTACACCAAACATCCCAATAGGATGCTCTAGACCTCACTGCTCAGGCTGACCGGAAATGGTCAGCTCAGAACTTAGGGTCAGTACAAGACCTAAATTGATCAAATGCTCGGTATTCACTCTATTTGTAATTGGTTATACTAAATTCAAGTTCCTGTCATAATTTCCAGCACATTTTCGTGTCTGTATAAAACTGTTCAGGTGTCACAGATCTACACATTTGGACATCCTCTAGTTTTACCTGTGAGACAAGGGTAGACTCCAAGGAGGCACACACACACTCCAGCACCTGTAGACTGTGGACAAGCTCCTCCGCTCCCTCCTCCGATAATTCATACTCTACATCTTCGCCTGTAACATTTCATATTTACTAAACTGCATGTCTTATCAATAACCTAGCAGGAGCACGAGGAAGAGGACCTTGTAATATGGCAGTAATGGAGGTGTAATATAAGTGCCAGTATATGGAGGTTTTACTGTGGTAATCACAATCATGGTAAATGTTTCCTGAGAGGTTACATGTTCACAGATTATGTTCAGGCTAAGGAAGTTATACCCTTGTTTGGCTTTCCATTAATTTCCAAGAATTTCTTTTAGTATCACAGAAACTGTATAAAGATAGGAGATATTAAATAATGAAAACAATCTCAGGTTAAATTATTGTAATTTAAAACTAATGTAAAACTTAAATGAAGTATGTTTACAAAAATATTGAAATTTGTAACTAAAAACACCCATAGAGGAATTCAAGGTGTTTGTCCAACAAGTCGGTGACAACACCACTAAACATTTGTGGATTTCCAATTATTTCTCAAAAAACTCCCAATGTCTTCAAAAATTCCAAACAATTTGTTCAGCTATTTCAGCAAGGCTTTGAACGATTAGCCTAGCTAGGTTATCAACTTGTAACAGTTCTGAGTGACACACAGACTTACCTGTTGATACCTGTGTACACAGAGCTAGAGTCGCCCAGAACTGGGGTACAGAATTTGGTAGTTTGTCATTCCTGACTTACCTGTGGGTACCTAAATTAGAGTTTGAGACAGAGTCTCCCAGAACTGGGGTACAGAATTTGGTAGTTTGTCATTACTGACTTACCTGTGTACACAGAGCTAGAGTCTACCAGAACTGGGGTACAGAATTTGGTAGTTTGTCATTCCTGACTTACCTGTGTACACAGAGCTAGAGTGTCCCAGAACTGGGGTACATAATTTGGTAGTTTGTCATTACTGACTTACCTGTGTACACAGAGCTAGAGTCTCCCAGAACTGGGGTACAGAATTTGGTAGTTCGTCATTCCTGAATTACCTGTGTACACAGAGCTAGAGTGTCCCAGAACTGGGGTACATAATTTGGTAGTTTGTCATTCCTGACTTACCTGTGGGTACCTGTGTACACAGAGCTAGAGTCTCCCAGAACTGGAGTACAGAATTTGGTAGTTTGTCATTCCTGACTTACCTGTGTACACAGAGCTAGAGTCTCCCAGAACTGGGGCACAGAATTTGGTAGTTTGTCATTCTGGACTTACCTGTGTACACAGAGCTAGAGTGTCCCAGAACTGGGGTACATAATTTGGTGGTTTTTCATCCCTGACTTCCCTGTGTACACAGAGCTAGAGTGTCCCAGAACTGGGGTACAGAATTTGGTAGTTTGCCATTCCTGACTTCCCTGTGTACACAGAGCTAGAGTGTCCCAGAACTGGGGTACATAATTTGGTAGTTTGTCATTCCTGACTCACCTGTGGGTACCTAAGTTAGAGGTTGAGACAGAGTCTCCCAGAACTTGGGTACAGAATTCGGTAGTTTGTCATTCCTGACTTACCTGTGGGTACCTAAGTTAGAGGTTGAGACAGAGTCTCCCAGAACTGGGGTACAGAATTTGGTAGTTTGTCATTCTTGACTTACCTGTGGACACAGAGCTAGAGTCTCCCAGAACTGGGGTACAGAATTTGGTAGTTTGTCATTCTTGACTTACCTGTGTACACAGAGCTAGAGTCTGCCAGAACTGGGGTACAGAATTTGGTAGTTTGTCATTCTTGACTTACCTGTGGACACAGAGCTAGAGTCTCCCAGAACTGGGGTACAGAATTTGGTAGTTTGCCATTCCTGACTTACCTGTGTACACAGAGCTAGAGTGTCCCAGAACTGGGGTACAGAATTTGGTAGTTTGTCATTCCTGACTTACCTGTGGGTACTTGAGTTAGAGGTTGAGACAGAGTCTCCCAGAACTGGGGTACAGAATTCGGTAGTTTGTCTGCTAGCTGGCGTGTGATTACGTTGAGGGACAGGTCAGCTCCCCGCCTCTGGATCTTCCACTGGCGCTGGACCTAGGAGATGTAAAGTGTATATATGTTAAAACTGTCACAGTAACAGAAATTCAGAACAAAAGACAATAGGCCTACAAGGACTTGCTTTGTCATAAACCCATATTCTGCCCAGCAAGCAAGGAGAAGATATCACGAAAATAGAACAATGCACATTTTCCATCAAGTGTTTTGTTGGAATTCTTGTAGGTCAATCCTCTCATGTTCTCTATCTACACCCCTGGAATATATCATGATGAAGTTGAAGGCTCTATACACGCTACCTTGTTGATGTTACATGTACACCAGTTTCATCCTTTGATGTACATCAAAAGAATTACGCCACACTATAAACTTTAAGGTAAAATTGGTAAAAAGTCATGTGTCTCTCCCCTATTATTTTGAAGGCTAGGTATACCAGCGTAGCGATTTTTCAGTTTTTTCCCCCCACCTGAAACCATTCAATAGCTATACAACTTCAATTTTGGTGCTGAGAATATAAGTAAGGGTAATCCCTGGAATGTCCAGGATGTTGTAGGTAGATCCTGGAATGTCCAGGATGTTGTAGGTAGATCCTACAATGTCCAGGATGTTGTAGGTAGATCCTACAATGTCCAGGATGTTGTAGGTAGATCCTACAATGTCCAGGATGTTGTAGGTAGATCCTACAATGTTCACCTCTCACATCAATCTCTATAGAGATAATAAAAGTGACATTCTTTTCTAAACCTTTGTTTACACATCACTAGACTTTCGGAATATGTAAGTCTGGGAACCCTCTGTGACGTCGATCGGTACCCCCCTACCAAAGGGGGGCGTCACTACATTATTTGGGTTGAACTAGTCTATCAGTTTACAATTAATACTGAACACTGATATTTACTGCACTGATGAAACTAGAAACTGAAGCCACATCAAAGGAGGTCGATGTCAAACTAACTTAACTTGCAGTTTGATACTGAAAATTGCAACCAACAAATACATGTTTCTGTACTTTGAGAATTACAATCTTGCAGCTCTTCACTACAATCAAAATGTTGGAACATGCTTTGTTTTACTAGGTCAAGTGTTGAATTAACAGTGTGCTATTATTGTACACAAATGTGATTATCTGAAAGAAATTGACGAATAAAAACTGACTTTACAATACAGATATGGTAGTGTGTGAATTATTGCCTGTATTTCATGGAAGCACTGGAGGTTCAACCATGCATTACCTCAGCGTTGTCTTGGGTAACGTCAGCAGGAATGTCGACGTCCACTTTAACACTGGGCGTACGCCGTAACCATTTCCTTCCTGTTTCAGGGACCTGGTTGAATACAAAAAATAGACTTCATTTCTTACTAAAAGAACCTCTGTGATTGGCTGAAAGGGTGTTCCTTCTAGTTTTCTTTTCTTTTACACACATGCACATAACATAAATTGAAATGCAAACAAATTATAATTTCATCCAAGAGACAATCCAATATTAACAAATATATCTACACAATTATCTTATGACCCTAGGCCTGTAAAGAAGTCTAACAAAAGTTGCCTTTGTCGACAGCCATGCAGATTCGTGGCCAAGTAACCATTAAATACAAAAACAAACTTCTTTCAAAAAAGGGGAACAAAAAGGAAAAAAATAAATAAAGCAGGCCACTATCAGTGACCCCTAGAGAAGCCCAAGTTTGCAATGAAAACTCACTCTTTGTTGTTTTGTCAGTGTTAGGATTCCAGCGTGTTTACTACACGGAACTTCGTTTGATAGAGTGCTTTCTGTAAGAAAGAGGACACACAAACATTGTTTTATCTACAAACTGTGTAATTATACATTCTTTGGTAGTAAAATATGATACAAAGAATCTCAAAATCATTCCTATTTCTTTTTGTTTTAAAGTTTCTGAAGCATGCATCTCCAGGGTTACCATATATAGTTAACCTAATAAGCCCCCACTCCTTATAAATGCCTACATCCTTTTCAACGGTCTGATAATCCTATCCCTTCACCATAATTTACAGACTCACATCCAAAAGGGGTCTATAATGGCGACTTTTAAGACTTTTGGAAGGTTCTGAACTCTAATATTACCAGATATTAGCTATCATTTTGTAAACCACATTCATTTGTCATTGCATTTGGACAAGCTAGGCGGTACCAGTATAGGATACTGTGAGGCAAGGTAGTCTAGTGGTAGGACGCCGGCGTGTGACCGAAGGGTCACTGGTTTTGAGTCACGGCACTGTGTTGTATCCTTGAACAAGATACTTTACTCCGCTTGTTCCAGTCTACTCATACTGTATATAAGTATGTGGTTGGGCAGTGCTGGAATTGTTGAATGCTAGCTGTGAGCGCCGAAATGGCAGCACCGGCTGTATGCTCTCCAGGGAGTTGAGAAAGATGTTGGCTGGTTGCAAAGGCCCTATAACCACGGATAATAATTTGTGAACCACTTTGAGATGACCTATGACCTAGGTTGTGATAAAGCAGTAATTAAGAACCTCAAATTATTATTATTATTATGATACTACCTGTGGTTGGAGGAGCTGGAGACTGAACTTTAGGGGTAAAGTTAGGATCCCCACATAGGAATCCACACAAGTTCTTCACCACTTTACTGTTGGGACTTGGATTTCTCCCCACACATTTCTGGATGAGGAATAACAGACAGTCACCTGCCTCTCTCTGTAAACACAAATCACAACTTGACACCATCACACCTTCTTGCTTTTAACAAGTATGGATCCACGGCACGTTAAGAGAATTCTACTACGTTTTTTCAATATAAGAGTAACCTCCCCTTAATTTCATTTTAGATACAACTAAACATTATCCTGACCCATTTCAACTTCTACATGGAATAGATAAACGGACACACATACATATGATGCATGCACACATATATATTATGAATGTGGACTGGGCCAGGACTCTCAACACTGTTGTTGGTTGTTTTTGTCATCTATCAATTTCATCTTTATCATTTTTCATACAAGTTCCACAAAATATGGGTTTCCTCTAAAAATTGACTAAAACAATTTCCAGCAATTCATTATTACAGTTTTAGCCTCTTATTTCTATCACTGGTTTTTATATAGTTAATGTATTAACCTTCACTCGTAGATACAAAAGACAAGAAAATACAATATAGAAAAAAAAATCAAAAAAAATCCCAGAGTACTGTTTTAATACACAGATGCTCAAACAAAACCAGTACCTTAGGATCGTTTTACATTTGAACTCCACCAGTGTTTTTGACCTGTTCCTACAGAGGATCATATATAGAATTAAACGCATTTTGAGACTTTTTAAGACAGTTGAGATGCTTCAACAATATGAAAAGTTGTTGCGAAAGTTTAACAAGGCAAAACAGTGGTATATAGCTGTTGTAACACGGCCTGATTTTACATAACTGACCTGTATGTTGATGTTGCTCTCCTTTTTGATACAGTCCATCAGCGGCCGTACCACAGGGTTTAGTTTATCAGGAAGAATATCCAACATCACCACAGCCTTAGCTAGGCTAACTTGTACCCTGAATAAAAAAAGTTGTTAACATTTTAAGAAAAACCCACTTAACTGGTACAAACAAAATCCCAATAATATAATCAGTTAAACACTGAATGGTCTGAATTGCATTTTCCAGATTGAGTAGTGAACAAAAACCTGATTTTACCCTATAAATCAATCATCAATTTTCTAAATTTCATTCAAACATATTTGATTGACAATGTCAAAGGGATTGGGCATACGTTCCTACAACTTACTAGGTCCTCTAGCTCCCAAAATATTTTCATCAGTGGGTCCTATTGTCTGGGCCCAGTTGTTCAAAAGATGATATTAAAGCTCATCACACTGTTTAAAGGGGCATCACGGTGAAGTAACTTTTTTTTGTGTCTTTTTTTCAAATACTACATAAACATATCAAGTGAGACTCCTTATGGAAAATAACGATCGAATTTGGCTGAAATAGATTCATAAAAATGATAACATCTAAGATAATCATCAGTATTTCTACCTGTCTGACCAACGTTTTGTTTCGGGATTTCCCTCTACTAGCGCATGCGCATAGCACACCATTTCTTTGTAAACAAAATGACTGGCCGTGTGAAGTAAGCGAAAGAAAAGTGTTGTACCGTGTCAGCTACGAAGCGAAAAGTTGCCGTGTCAGCTACGAAGCGAAAAGTTGCCAAATGGTCAAAAGATAGCGCAAGGGGAACGTTACGGAATCATTATTGCCAGTGGGAAGCATTCAAAGCAGAAAATAACTGCCCTAGCAGTTAGTACGGTACATGTATTCTTCCGGATAGCCGGTTAAGCTGAAATAAAGTCAACAGAAATGCTAGCACTGTTTATGTTATGAATAAATATCTAAAACTATTAACCTCGCTAGTATCATTGTGCGAGTTTGGACACAGATTAACTTAGTTTAATATGTTAATGGGCATGTATCGGAGAGAGTTTACTTTGTGTTTTTATAATTATACAGTGGTTTATGCGAAAGGAAGGGATAAGTGACTGGTTAGTTTGATATTGCCATGAGGCCCTCCAAGGGATAACTGTTGTGATGGCCACGGCGTATTCTGTTCTTTGATCCTCTGACGGTACTCGGGGTCAAATGAGATACGTGCGCAATTAGATTTATATAATTTATAATATTACCGGGATCAGTAAAATGGTATGATTTAATTATATAGCTGAATTAAACGATTTTGTTTTGTTTTGACATGCAAGACCCGGCCTCCTCTGGCGCGACAACGCAATATATAAAAAAACAAATCGCTCTTCGTCAGAAAGCTACGTTATCGCCGCTAGATTAAAAATGTCAAAATGACGGACCAGGATGAATAACTGAGGAAGGAGAACCAACCTACTTCTAGTAAATAGGATCGCATAACATTTTTTTTTTTAACTCGTAATTTTTCAACAGTTCATGTTTTCATATGATGTTGGCTTAGAATGTATGAACATGTAACAACCTTTTCTCTATAAAGAAAAAAATTTCGACTTCAGATAGAATCGGAATACATATTGAAAACAGGGGAAAAAATATTTGATTACGTTGTAAAAATGGCGCGTGCTGCCGATAACTACGGCTTCTGTTTCGGACAAAAGGAACTGATTAAAGAAAAGTTGTCTCAACATAAAAAGGTCCATTTACAAGCATGCTTTAATCTCTGTAAAGTATTGAAAAAATATAATTATCGAGTATCTCAACACGTTTCTTATTGACACATATTCTACATGTATACGTAGTGGTTTTGCCATACAGTTTATTGTGTGTGATGGCTAATATGACTTACTAAGTGTTAGCGTATGGAGACAGTGAAAGTGGGAAAGAGAGTATACATACATTTATATGCATGGTTTAAAAAAATAAATTGGCCAAAGACATTGAGTTGTATAATGTAATAAATAAATTCACAAACGTTTCCTTTTTTATTCGCGTGTAGTTTGTCATTGCATATATATGCACTTTATGTAAACATTTGAAAAGGGATATTCGTCTCGTGAATATTCCTTCTTACAGAGGGTTTGTCCCATTGTTGAGGGAAGGTGTTTAGCCCCGTACAGATGTCACATTCCGGTTCTAAATTCAATACATATTTATATATATGTACTTTATGTTTATGTCTATTATCACTGTTGACATTTAATTGTAAATGTATGACGGGAGAAGGCTGTGATAAATTGTAAAAACGTGTGCCCCATCCATTGTTTAATTTTTATTGGCAACAAATTTATGTTTAAAGCTAAATAAATTTAAATTCTGAATATTGGCAAGTGTGCAATTAACTTCTGATGATGAATAATTACTGTTCAATAAGTTTGAATACAGACTTAGAAATCATATTACTTGGTTTCATACACAAGTAATATACACAACATATCCTATGCCTATATTCTAATATGTACTAATTACATATTAGAATATAGGCATAAGATATGTTGTGTCTATTACCTGTGGTTTCATAGTGCGGTAATAAGTTGCAGTTGCCTGACGGCCCCTCTCTGGGGGCCCCTTTGGAAACCGTTTAATCTCGCTCGCACCACTTGTGTTTACTGCCTAGTCAGGTGACGTTATCTATGCTATTTTTAGCAGGGCTTTCCCGAACAATTCAAGTGGTCAAACTGGACATTTGGAACGGACTATGAATATGGGAATAGCGAGGTAACATAAGTGGAAGTGCATACAATATATACATTCATTAAAAAAAATATGGCTCTTCACATGATGTCCCTTTAACAACATTTTTCAACCTGTTATAATTTGGTCAATATACGAGGTAAAAACTCATAATTTTGCACGTAATTTTTACTCGACTAAAATATTTGCTATCTTGAAAGTTTTTAACTCAGTTAATGGCTGTGTTCCAAAGATACACATTTTTTTTCGCTAATCACCTTTTGAACAACTGGGCCCTGAAGACAACACAAATGTGATTACAAGTTTCAATCTAATTACAAAATCAGTTTGTTGTTTTTCACAAATGAATATTTCCGCAGACCACTAAAACTATGGAGCGAAGTTGGCTGGTTACCTGACGGTTAAGGTTTGTAGTTCTTGAGCTGTCTGTTCTACGATGGAGCGTAGCTGTTTCCTCCGGTCCTCAAACGTCTGGAGAGCGTTGGGTTTGAGTGTGGTTTTGACCTGGTCATACACTGTAGTGGTCAGTGCCGAGGCCTGCTCCACAGATAGGATACTCCTAGGGCACACAACAATACACTTCCTAGGTTATCTGTCATTTACACGGAGCAGATTGTGTAGATATGTATATATGTGTAGATATGTATATATGTGTAGATATGTATATATGTGTAGATGTGTATGTATGTGTAGATATGTATATATGTGTAGATATGTATATATATGTGTAGATATGTATATATGTGTAGATATGTATATATGTGTAGATATGTATCCATGTGTAGATATGTATGTATGTGTAGATATGTATATATGTGTAGATATGTATGGATGTGTAGATATGTATATATGTGTAGATATGTATATATATGTGTAGATATGTATCTATGTGTAGATATGTATGTATGTGTAGATATGTATATATGTGTAGATATGTGTAGATATGTATATATGTGTAGATATATATATATGAAGAGATGTCTGGAGACAGTGGTATCATGTTTTAAGATTTTGGTTTTGCAATATTTACCTACTGTAGACAATTTAAGTCATTTTGGGCTATGTTTTAGGAAACATCACTTCATGGAAATGTACCATATACATGTATTATAAAGATATATAATTTGTATCATGACTGTTAAGTTCCAAATTGTTTTGCCATTTCTTAATTGGTACGTTTCAAATTGAAACAGTTACTGTTAATTTGTTCATATGTTCGCTGTTTTCATAAATGTAGTTCCACTGCAACCACAAAAACCATAAAAGTTCAAAAATATGCAGCGATAGTTTACTGTTCTATTTTGTCAAGAAATCTATCACACCATGATTAATGTATTTTAGATGGTTAAAGTCAAACATGTACATAAGACCAGCTCTATTAAGAGACCACCTGTATTTTTAAAAAGGAACCACTTTTTAAACTTCTCACTGCCACTATTTTCAAGTTAGAACCTGTATTTAATTAAGAGACCCCCTGTATATAATTAGGCTATTTGGATATGCTTTTAGTATTCTCACTCCAGCTGTGAGGTAAAAGTTTTTAATAGGTTGACAAATTGCCTCTTTAGATCAGAATCACTTGTTTATCGAAAGATTTAAGCTACATACTGTATGCAATCCTCGTTAAAGAAATAAAGAATTATATAGGTTTCAGTGAACATAGTGTACAGGCAGTAACATAGGATGACAAATTATCTTTGCACTGTTCAGGTATTTTGAAATGGAAATAATTTCCTTCACTTACCCCGGAGGGATGATGGGATCCATGTCAATACCTTGTTGTTTGAGTCCAGCTATGAAGTTCTGACAGTCAGACTGCATGTGAGTGAAAGATGCGGCAATTTCGTCGAAGTAGATAGCTTCGTTAAGGCACTCCAGTAGTTTGGATTTGGTCTCCGTTGTACACGGACAGTTCTAAAGTAATGAGAAAACAATTGACAAAGTTCAATTACATCAACAAAAACAAGTTAAGAAATCTCTTGTTTTTTCAATGGGACTAGTAATGTTTAAGAAACCAGGAAAATTATGTACATCTAGTTTTTTGCTCAAATTAAGATATTTCACTGTCAAATAGAAACAGTTTATACAAAATTTTGTCAAATGAGGTTTTTTTTAAGTACTTTTCAGCCAGTTGTAGATTTTTACCTAGTTTCTTGAAAGTATCATTTTGATATTTTTCTGACAAAACCATATAAAAAATCTGCTGTGTTAAATTCTTAATTGAAATAAATGTCAAAGTCAAATGTACCTGCTGCACAGAGGCCCAGTAGTAGAGAACTTGTCCAACAATGAAGCGCTGGATAGCGGACTTATTGTTCAAGTGGAAGTGGAAAAGTTTACAGAGGGAGTGAACAGGTTTCTCTGCCTCCGGTGGAAAGTTTGGCACCTCTCTTGTAACGTAGCTACACAGTATTCCCAGCAATCTGTAAACAAACAAGCAACATTCACATTAATTCTCATAAATATCTATCACCTAATTCTTGAATTGTGTAAGTATTTCGTTATATAACCAGGCATATTAACTTTTTTATTTTTCATCCATTTGTGCGACAGAAATCTCATATAAAGACCGACTTTCAGCTTTAGTGAGAATGAATTCATAACAAAAATTGATAGCCGGGCTCGTGACCGAAGGGTTGCGGGTTCGATATACGGCACGGCACTGTGTTGTATCTTTGAGCAAGATACTTTCTCCGCTTGTTCAAGTCTACTCAGTTGTAAATGAGTATATGTGGTTGGGCAGTGCTAGAATTGTTGAATGCTAGTTGTTAGCGCCGAAATGGTAGCTCCGGCTGTACAATCCCCAGGGAGTTGAGAATGGGATTGGCTGGTTGCAAAGGCACTATAATCACAGATAATAATTTGTGAACCGCTTTGAGACGACCTACAAACTAGGTTGTGATAAAGCGGTATATAAGAACCTCAAATTATTATTATTATATAAATCATAATCAATCTACAGAAATTAGACATTTTATTTCTCCAATTACATGAAGCATAAAAATGTTGAAACATCACAACGAGAAATACACATCACAGCGTGAAATAGGCATCACAGCGTGAAATACACATCACAGCGTGAAATACACATCACAGTATGAAATACATATCACAATGTGAAGTTACTCTAATATTACCTATGAGCCTGGAGGGACGAAACCTCAAACGGCTAAGGCACTTTAATAAGTAATATACATAACAGAATACAAATTTTATTGCACAATATCGACCAAATTATATTTAAATCTAATTTAAATTTTTCATCCTCCCTCTTCTTTTCATTCCTCGTTTCTATCAATATGAATCTTTTAATATAACAACAAGTTACATCATCTACCTTGACGTATGCATCCTGGCTTTCATCACGGCTGTGTCCCGTTCACTGACGTCACTGTTGAGCGTGCCGGTACTGGCGATGTAGTCTTGTTGATCTTTCTCTTGTACCTGCCCGCCACTCACTCTCTGTCGTCCAGGGGCGACGTCCAACTAAAGCATGATGGGAAAATATTAGTTTTCTACAATTTTGGCCCAAAAGGCTGAAACTATGGTGGCATTTGCGTATCCTTGTTGAAACGGTTCAGGTGGTGAAGAAATATTCTACAATAAACTAACACACTTGGAATGCAACGTTTTGTGACAAATAAATAACAATTTTCCAGAATATTACGTATTTCTTTCACATGTCCACAAAATTATTTAAAGTATCATAAAATATACATGTGAATCAACCTTGTTTTATAAAGAAAGAAGGAAAACCAGCAAAAGTCAGCATCTTAGTTACGGCCAGGCACGTCTGGACCGCTCGATAAACACGTGCCAAATATTCCCGAGGTCAGACTCTGTTTAGATCTGAGCCTGTCAATTTGTTATAGATATTCCCGAGGTCGGCCTCCGTTTAGATCCGAGCCTGTCAATTTGTTCTAGATATTCCCGAGGTCAGACTCTGTTTAGATCTGGGCCTGTCAATTTGTTAAAGCTATTCCTGAGGTCAGCCTCTGTTTAGATCTGAGCGTGTCAATTTGTTATAGACATTCCCGAGGTCAGCCTCTGTTTAGATCTGGGCCTGTCAATTTGTTCTAGATATTCCCGAGGTCGGCCTCCGTTTAGAGCTGAGCCTGTCAATTCGTTATAGATATTCCCGTGGTCAGCCCCCGTTTAGATCTGAGCCTGTCAATTTGTTATAGATATTCCTGAGGTCTGCCTCCGTTTAGATCTGAGCCTGTCAATTTGTTAAAGATATTCCTGAGGTCAGCCTCGGTTTAGATCTGAGCCTGTCAATTTGTTATAGATATTCCCGAAGTCAGCCTCTGTTTAGATCTGAGCCTGTCAATTTGTTATAGATATTCCTGAGGTCAGCCCCGGTTTAGATCTGAGCCTGTCAATTTGTTATAGATATTCCCGAGGTCAGCCTCCGTTTAGATCTGAGCCTGTCAATTTGTTATAGATATTCCTGAGGTCAGCCTCCGTTTAGATCTTAGCAAGTCAATTTGTTATAGATATTCCAGAGGTCAGCCTCCGTTTAGATCTGAGCCTGTCAATTTGTTATAGATATTCCTGAGGTCAGCCTCCGTTTAGATCTGAGCCTGACAATTTGTTATGTCAATTAGGTTCAGCTGGTGGGAATGGTTGATGTGCTAATGTATGTGTTAAAACTCTACACAGGACATTTACTTCAGAAACTCACCGACCAGCTAGAAACACAGGTCATTACCACTATCACCTGCAAAATGCTTCATTTGAATTTTATTTGTTTGTAAAGAACGTTAACTTCCTGAAGTATCTTCCCAAAAGCTCTTAATAACATTAAATCTGATGCGGACAATTCATCTTTTGCACTGAAATATACAACATCTATACCGTTATAGCTGACCAGGGCATATCCTTTCATTTTTTCTTTTCATATAAGTCTCTTGGCTCCTCAATTCCTCAAAATAAGAGTCCTTCAATTTTTTTCCAGGTATAGTGAAATAATGGAATACTAATTTTTAATTAAAGGTTTAGTTACTAACCCTGTTAAGTATTTAATCTGTCCTACTATGCTGGAGACAACATTCACAAAGGACTTAATATATAATAAATTAGAGAAGAGACAAATCAATAACTGCATGCTCCCTCCAAAATCTGTATGGGAGCGAAAAACGTTAGCTTATTAAAACTTCTCATTTAAATTGATGAATTGTGGGACAAATATCTAGTTTAACTGTATATTTACGGGTCAATAACATAACCCAAACCTCCTAAATGTTAAAACCTACCCGGCCTCGATGCTTTGCCTTGATCAAGTACGTTGGCTCGAACGGAACTTTGGAAGGCTGCATACATAACGACAGCCATACACCTAGCCAGGGAGTCGCCATGGCGATGAGATGATCTATCGGTGTCTTGGAAAGCAGTTTTGACCACACTTCTCCTACGGAGACTAGGACGTCCTGACGATCCTCGAGAAGACTGCGCTGTACGAGGTGTCGCAATGCGTCCTGGAGGATCAGTGGCAGCCAGGCGTTTGTAGGATGCTGTATAATAAAACAGAGCTAAAACCTGACATTTCAATTATTGGTAGTCTTAAGGCTATATGCAACCTAGGTGAACAAATTGACTTCTTTTTTAAAAGAGTTTGGAAGTGTGTATTCAGTATTCAAAGGTCGAATGCCACAATATTCCTATATAAATGTGAAATGATAAAATCCTTAAGGAGGATGCAAAGAAATAGCAACCAAACCATGTCACATTTCACCTTTGTGCCTCATATAGTCACTGTTACTCTGAGCTTCATGTATTAAACCTAAACATAAGGAGTAGCTTTCAGTAATGTTGTCTGCGAGAAAAAAAGGCAGCAGAGAAACAATTTGTTAAATTAACAGCTCAGAAACCATTGTGTTCACAAATGACCCAACAGAGAGATGGAAGGATGAACAACAGAGAGATGGAAGGATGAACAACAGAGAGATGGAAGGATGAACAACAGAGAGATGGAAGGATGAACAACAGAGAGATGGAAGGATAAACAACAGAGAGATGGAAGGATGAACAACAGAGAGATGGAAGGATGAACAACAGAGAGATGGAAGGATTAACAACAGAGAGATGGAAGGATGAACAAAGACTTCAATGTGCCCCGGAAATTTGTTTGTGGAGGTGTTAAGACATACCTGGGTACTTTCTATGTCAAGTAAAGTACTGAAAGTTTGTAGAGCAGATTTTCTCACAGACGGGATGTTATGTCGCAGGAATGGCCAGAGTCGTGGGACAAGCTCAGTCAAAGGTGTCGACAGCCTAAAATAACACGATAACATGTCATAGAAACAACACAAGACTGGTTTTTGTAGTTAATGAAGCAAATTTAAACTTTTCCTAGTTACATTTCTTTAATCAATGTTATTTTTAGCCCTCATTTGAACACTTGGAGCTTACCAGTCTAGTACAGAGGCCCGGGGATGAGCCATGATGGTCGACAGGAGTGTCATGATACTGTTGGTTGAGGATGTCAGATCGTCTAAGTCTAGTAATGTCTGCCACAGGCTGGCCACGATCAGGGGCACCTAAACACACAATGTAAATAGAGATTATAGCCACGTTCAAGGGCACCTAAACACACAATGTTATTTCAAACCATGATTAGGGGGTTCATAAATAGAGATTATAGCCACGATCAGGAGCACCTAAACACACAAGGTTACTTCAAATCATGATTAGGGGGTTCATAAATAGAGATTATAGCCACGATCAGGGGCACCTAAACACACAAGGTTATTTCAAACCATGATTAGGAGGTTCATAAATAGAGATTATAGCCACGATCAGGGGCACCTAAACACACAAGGTTATTTCAAACCATGATTAAGGGGTTCATAAATAGAGATTATAGCCACGATCAGGGGCACCTAAACACACAAGGTTATTTCAAACCATGATTAGGGGTTCATAAATAGAAATTATAGCCACGATCAGGGGCACCTAAACACACAAGGTTATTTCAAACCATGATTAGGGGGTTCATAAATAAAGATTATGCAGAAATCTCAAAATTTATTTTTAAATTTGAAATGAACATCACCAATATCAAATTGAAATGGTGTTTATTCTCAAGCATTTAACGTTATATTAACAGCTAAGATAATTTAAGGACGTGCCTCCATGTGTGTAATGTGTGCGTGCATGTGTTTGCATGCGTGTTGGAGGATGGGTATGTTGGTGTATCCTTGTGAAGCCGGTATCTGGTGCCGACTTTACAATACTACCTCATTGAAATACCATACTGAAGGCAACAAGCACAGTATTCCATCTGGTCACATTATACTGACAACAGGTTTAACTAGTTGTTGTCAATACGCCCTAAAGATTAAACATTTACCATTTGGTTCGATATCTTGACGTAACTATGAAAATGAGATATTCTGCAGAAATATTTTTTGGAACGCGTCAATAAATGAGAAACGAGGATCTACAGGACCTCATTAAACATACAAGGATTCCAGTCAACTTGACTTACCCCACTTAACATGGGTAATATACAAATATGTATCAACTTTGGTGAAAGTGCCAACACTATACAGTACATAGTGAGCAGAGAAGACCAGTACATCTGTGACGCTACGTTATCTATGACATTACCTGACCCGGTAGCAGAGACACGACACTGTCGGCCACTGGGACCAGAGCAGCCGCCGCCACGGCACGCACGTCGTCACTGACGTCCTGTAGGCCCTGGAATAGGCATGGTAGGGTGGCTGGCAACAGTCTGTCCGTCATATCCTGAAATACAGAAATATTAGTCTCTTTTAAAATTCCAACATTACTTAGTAGGTGGTAAAAACTTTCTAATGATCAGGAATTACGATTCCAGATTTTCATGTTCTTCGCACAAAATTCCAATTCCATGAGCCAAGGTTCTTTTTAAAATCCTTAGATTAGGCCTTCACCTATTGGATCCCACAGAAATGCTAGAAAAGAAGAGATATTCTGTCATAATCTAAACTTTGAAATTTTGATTGCCAGTATCATGAAAATCAGCCATGGAAAGTTGGGTTACACAGCGCTTGTCAAAAGTATTTCACCAGGTTAAACCTCTACTATTGTTGGAGGAAGGACCAACCAGGATTTTACAAGCTGTAGCCAACATCTGTTTATAACCCTGTAACCCTGTATTACCTTTCTGATGGCCAGGAGGTACTTGAAGCCCAGTAATCCACCATGTCGCACCTCCCACTGCCTCTGTGCCAGCAGCTGGAGCAGGATGTGGACGACACCTTCCACCCCCCAGGGCTCCAGACATCGCACCACCACCCCCAGGGTCTGGGCACAGGTCTCCCTCACCGGGGCAACCACCTGAGGATACGTAATGCAGCAAAATTTGAAGTTGAGATTCTAAAATCGAAAGTTTACTAGATGCAAGAAAACACAGCAGTGCGATTGACATATCTAAATATTTAAAATCTGACAATTGATGGATACACTAACCTCAGGATACCGTTTTGATAAATATGCTCTTAAATAATCCTGAATCAACAATAACCCAGTACATGGAGTTACCTCATCTGACACGTAGTCCCCAAATCTGTCGAGGGCAATCACACACACCAGTCTCAGCGCCAGGTCCGACAGCCACACCTGGTTAATGGCCTTCACCTGGAAATAGGTCAAGGAAAAAACTTGAAAATATAGGTCAATGCAAAATTGGAAAATATACGTCAAGGCAAAACTTGATATTAAATACGGACCGTATAGGTCAATGCAAAACTTAAAAGTAGGTCATGTGAAAATTTATTTGAAAGAAGGTCAAGTGTAAGAAGGAAAAGCCTTATTCTGATTGTTATTCAAGTGGAATGTAGATCAAGTATGAGACAGAAAGTCAAAAAACATGTAGTTTCATCATTTGTAAAGGTACCTTTGTGGATATACAAAATTGGACCAGTCTCCTAAGGGGTGCTTGATACCAAATTAACTTAACATCAGTTAATACATAGCTTGTTTCCTTATTTCCCCACACCCTGGTAATATATAGCTGTTATGCAGTTGTCTTACCTGGATTATAAGGTAATCTTTACCTAAACTAGAGAAACTTTGAGTGAGCTCATAAAGATATAACCCCTGTTCGCACTTACAAGGTTTCTGCTTCAATGGCCACAACGCCAGGAAAATCAGTTGTATCCCGAATTTTTGTGCACATCTACATATGATGTACTTTCACCGTTTCAAGTCACAAAAAATACAACACACGGTCATAGAAAAACAGACAGGGTGATTCCTGTATACTCCCAAAACTTTGTTTGCAGGGTGTAAAATCACAAGGTTTCTCACCTGTGTTTAATAATTCATTAACATATTCTTTCTCACCTGGTTTAAAATCAATAAATATCTTGCCTTATATCTTAAGGTATCATACCTGGTCAACAGGAGTGTCCACAGACATGCCGGCCGACTGACCGTGAAGTTTGATTACTTCTCGTAGTCCAGTCGCAGCACCGTGACGACTTTCCCAGGTACTCTGAAACAAGTCGTTCATTAGGAGCTCACAGAACGTCTCAAACGGCCACTCCTCCACCTAAAATGATAAACACAGCACGAGTCATGAATATTATGAGATCGTGTACTGGAAACCAGGTTCACTCTATTGCAAGGGTAACAAGACGCTGTCATGATATCCCCCGCTCGCAGTACAAAAGTCATTAAAAACATGAAGCGTAAAATAATAGTAAAAATCAGCATTCACAATATGCATTTAGTAGAGCAACCCTAGATACACAATTGATGCCAAGTATAATCAACACAGCACTTGTAGTAGGCAAGATATAGATGAGAGGAGTACGTTCTTCTTGACCAGGTACATGGACGGACGGACCCCATTTCTATATCCCCCGCCAACTCGTTAGTCAAATCAAATTCAAGGCCTTCACTTAATTTTCTTTGCGGCCAAAAGCAGCCTGAGATAACAAGGAAACAAACAAAAATTCTACAAATAAATGTATCCTTGGTAAAAATGCCACTATACCTGGTCATAAATAGATTTATTTAACATAGAAAAATAATCTCTGTTTTGTTTCATACAAAATTGTGGAATTTCAATTTGTTAGAAAGGCATGACTCAGCTGGATAATCATATATGGATTACTGAACAGCTAAATTCAAGGACTTTTCAAGGCCACAGGCCAGTATTCAAGACTTTTCAAGGCCAAAGTTATATTCAAGGCTTTTCAAGGCCACACTGTAAACTCAAGGCTTGTCAAGGCCCCGTGCTAACCCTGTTCCAATATATCGGACATTTTTATCAATTATACTCCTGAGACATTGTCAGACTTAGTTAATTTCAACTGTTCATCAATCATTCTCGCTAATCATACTTTGTCTAATTTTTCAAATAATGTGAAATTTTGATGTGCTCAGAACCGTATGGGAAACATTTATATATATATATATGTACTAAAAAACAGTTAACTGAAATCTTGTTCACTTCAATCTTCCAGGTTCAGGGTTCGTATCCATGACACAAATCTCATGCTCAAGCATGAATTTGAGCTCAAACCAACCTTCTGGTAATGTGCTTAGATCATACTGCAGAGTGAAGAAGTAAAATCTTTACAAAGAAGACAGTAGTCTAAAAACAGCTCTCGTACGAACCTCCTCCATGTTTAGAGTGTTGTCTGTCGAACTCTCCATCACAAGTTTTCCGTCACTGCCAAGGTCAAGGTCATTCCGGGACTTGGCCTTTTTACAGGGGGGCTCCGTCTCCAGGGTCATTTGTTCACTGAAGTAGGTAAGGAAATGATCAAATATGCATCAGAAATTGTGGTGGCAGGATGATCAGAATGATCACCCTATTTCTGTGTGTTGATCCATGTTAATACAAATCTAAATGTAATGTCAGTGTTATTGTTTAAGCTGTGTTTACATTTTGGTCATAACCAGTCAATAATATTGAAACGAAACAGAGTTTAACTTTATACACAATGTAGGCCTGTATTAAAAGTGTCGCAACTTTTCAAGACTGACTGGTCCCTTTGTCAAGCTTTATGTCAAAGGGACCAGTCTGTCTTGAAACGTTGTGATATGTTTAATATGTATACTGTATACATATAAAGCAAAACTTAGATATTACACATTTTCAAACTGATGAATCTTGTTGAAAACATTGAAACGTGTTTAATAAGACACCCTGCAGGACACAACAAAATGGTCAGGTTTTACAGGAAATCTAAATATACAGAACTCTCTTACCTGTTTTCATTAGAATCGTAATACCGAATTATGTTGAATAAAACAAGAAGACGGAATAGCCAGGGGTCAAATTACACTGGGGTCAATGTAATGTATAGGAGCGTAAGGTGTATATAATATCTGAAATAATGTGAGCCTTTTGTGTGTGCTTCAATCAGTTTATATTGTTGTCAAATTTGAGGAAGATACATAGATACATGGTTAAAACATGCAAGAAAAATAAGAATTTTGATTTGCTTTTCTTCGGTATTCGTTTTTCAAATTTGAGAGTGTCCCAAAGAATCTGCGAGATTTAAATGTCTGAATTATGCTAATGTATTTTACCAGTAGTTTTGCTACTTACTTTTGCACCTAAATGTGATAAACATCTGTCTGAGGTTTGAGTCTGACCATGAACACCAGTAGAATAGATAATTATTATACCGACCTTTGACACAACCAAAGTGTGGCACCCACATTTGACCTACATATATTTACTGACCTTTAACCTCAGCATCCTATAATGCACCCGTATTTGACCTCAGCATTATTTGACCTGTAATATTTGTTAACCAGAGTCTGACCTCACATTTGACCTGTAATATTTGTTAACAAGAGTCTGACCTCACACTTGACCTGAACTATTTGTTAACCAGAGTCTGACCTCCCACTTGACCTGTACTATTTGTTAAACAGAGTCTGACCTCACATTTGACCTGGAATATTTGTTAACCAGAGTCTGACCTCCCATTTGACCTGTAATATTTGTTAACCAGAGTCTGACCTCACATTTGACCTGTACTGACCTTTGGCACTCTTTAGATCTTTGCTTAGCCAATATTTTGGCCTTCCTCTTGACCCGGTTTTTCTCCCGAGCACTCATCCCTCCCGTCACCAGCAGCAGTTGTTGTTTTACAATATCAGACACGGATTTCTGCATGAAAAATAAGCATAACGAAGGCACACATCTCTAGCTGTTTCCACGGCAGTCATCAGAATCAGTGTAACTACTTTGAAGTGACATATTTGTAAGAAAATCTTAGTTTAAATTGATGCACTGATCTTGGTTCCTTGATATTTGATACATTATTTGTATAAATAAAATTTCAAAATACTTTGAAAACAAGAGGCCCAGGGGCCTTAATAGCTCACCTGGTATTTTATTTTTCAATTTAAAACCTGCTGAGTACCATTCAGGTTTATCAAAGGAGTACAAGTAACAAAGTTGCATCTTCCATTTATAAATATTCAATTCCCTTTGCCCAAAGATTCTCTAAAACAAGTTTGGTTAGGTTAAAATCCCTTCAACGGTACAGAAGGAGAAGGATCTTTAATGTTTTCCTCTATTTCCCCTAATGGGCCCCACTAATCTGCCCCAAAGAAGGGGAATCCACACACCTCAGTTTAAACAAAATTGATTCTTTTCTCCCTAAGCATGCTTCAGACTGCATTTGGTTTAAATCCCTTCACTTGTATAGTAGGAGAAAAAAAATCCTCTATTTCCCCTATTGGGCCCCGCTCCTATGCCGCCAGAAGGCCCACACCCTCCGTTTATACAAACTTGAGTCTCCTTTGTCCAAAGATGCTCTAGGACAAATTTGGTCAAAATCCTTCAATTGGTTGAGGAGAAGATTTTTAAAGATTTACCTATTTTCCCCTATTTGGCCCCGTCCCTCTGCCCCCAGGGGGACCATACCCTCCGTTCATACAAAACTGAGAACCCTTTGGCCAATGATGCTCCAGACCAAATTTGGTCAAAATCCCTTCATCGGTACAAAAGGAGAAGGATATTTGATGTTTTCCTCTATTTCCCCTAATGGGCCCCACCCATCTGCCCTTAGAAGGAGGCCCACACACCTCAGTTTATACAAAATTGATTCTTTTGTCCCTAATCATGCTTCAGACTGCATTTGGTTAAAATCCCTTCACTTGTATAGCAGGAGAAAAAAAATCCTCTATTTCCCCTATTGGGCCCCGCCCCTCCGCCCCCAGAGGGGCCACACCCTCCGTTTATACAAACTTGAGTCTCCTTTGTCCAAAGATGCTCTAGGACAAATTTGGTCAAAATTCTTCTATTGGTTGAGAAGAAGAAGATTTTTAAAGATTTACCTATTTTCCCCCTATTTGGCCCCGCCCCTCTGCCCCCAGGGGGGTTATACCCTCCGTTTATACAAAACTGAGAACCCTTTGGCCAATGATGCTCCTGACCAAATTTGGTCAAAATCCTCTGAGCCATTCAGGACAAGTAGCATTTTAAAGGAAAAAGTTGACGGACGCCGGACGCTGCACCATGGGATAAGCTCACATGGCCCTTCGGGCCAGGTGAGCTAAAAATCTTGGCAGCTCCTTATATATGTACATGTAAAATGCATTAAATTTGATACCTAAATATATATGCTAAGAAAGATGCCCATGGAAGCTTGCACAGCTTCAATACATAAGTTGACATTTTCATTAACATTTCTATTAGTGGAAAAGTTCATGTGTTGACTTCAAATTCTTAGGATAGTTTGCATTAGCAATACTTTGTTGTAGTCTGTCAATATGTATTTTCCCATTTTCATTTAAATGCTGATTTTCATAAAATTTTACGTGAAATAAACAAAAAAATCTTCATTACAAAATCTTCCACAACAAATTGATAGGCCTGTTATAACTGGACGTTCCACGATAATAATATTTAATAATTCGAGGTTCTTATAAACCGCTTTATCACAACCTAGTTGGTAGGTTACTATCTTTGTATTTTAGTGTGTCTTCATAACCACTCAATGAGATTTGATACAAAGAGTTTGTAATAAGTCATAGTTTTGTAACATCTATCCTCTATTTTAGATATGTCAGGACAAAATAACCTAGACATTGGAAGATAGAACAAGTTACCTGGTCCTCCGTGCGAATGCCGTTGCTGGATTTGATACCCATAATCAGGTCATCATCGGTGAAGATATCGGAACCGATTCCGAGACCGAGATTTCCAGCCACATCCAGGCCGAGTCTCTTGTTCAGCATCTGTCTCTGTCTCGTCAACTGGTCCTTGTCTGTCAGTTCTGGACAAGGTCAAAGGTCAAACAATAACAATGTGAGGTCAGGTAAAAATCAGGAAAAAATATCGCTCTTTTCCGGAAACTTCTTAACTGAAACTGTGGCAAATTTAACACCAAAATTGGCTATAATGATTTTCTGATCTTTTTGTTCACATGTACATATGTTTAACATTTCAAACTAAATTCTCTGTAAAACTAAAATATTTGTTTTCTTCGATTTTCTACCTACCAGACAATTCAATTGCTTGCCACTAATTTAGAAGATTGAATTTAAGATCAAGAAAAAGGACTATCCAGTTACTACAATGCCAATTTAACCCTTTCACCACTGTAGATCATAATGGACTCAACCAGATCAATGCATGGTAGAGTTTCCTGAAGTTACATAGGGTTGAAAGGGTTAACTTGTCAATGTTGAAAACTGAATCTTGACTCGTAAATTAATATTCTGACGATAAATCTAAACATCTGCTAGATTCACTTCCTTCGAGAAGACGTCCTTAAATGACCATAGCTGTTGATAGGACGTTAAACAATATTAAAGTAAAACCAACCTAAACCAATCTTAGAGGAGACAGTGTGTTGATTCGTAATTCTGGACATGACAAACACTTACGGGATGTTCCGTTGTCCACCTCATACACTTTCTCCTCTGACCCCACCAAGGATGCGCCATAGTTGAGGACTTTGTTGAGATCGAATTGAGCGAATAATAGCTGTCCCGGAGACTGTGTACAGCTGGCGTCCACATTCGGCTCTGTAAACAACCAACCACACAGTAAAGACAAGCTGATCACATCTGGCTCAATGGTGATTCTTCTGTCATACGTAAACTTCACTGGTGATGGTGTCACTAGCTATGAAACTTTATCTAAACTTACCTAATTACAGGGCTACAAGAGGCTACAACTACAACAGAGGCTGTTTAGCCATAATTCAGTAACAATATCATTTCAATTCACTCTGTATGTAATACACTCCTATTTGGACAAAACAAAAAAATTGCAATATACTGGCCGAAGCTTGTTTGAAAGCTACATAAAAGTGTGTCTGTATTGTGAATGTAGATGGAACACCTTTTGTTATTAAACTATTTTTTTTTGAGGAATTTTAGTCAGCTTCAAAGGAATTATTTATTTAAGTAAAAGTACACATCAGTGAATCCCAGTGATATGGTTTGTTATGATGTCTCTGACCTACCTAATTTATGGCAATTACCACTGTTTCTAATTAAGAATATGCCACTGAAAAATGTAATTATTTAGTGAATGAAAGTGAATAAGAATAAGAATATCTCTATTGCATGTGTTTTGTGATTGACATTAATATAAATACCATGACCATAGTGTTGCTAAAATCAATATCAGAGACCTTCATCAGCAAGACAAGTCAAACTTAATATGGAACCGTGTATTCACAATATACCATCAAAAATCTCAAAACACAGTATCCTCTTATTTTCACCAGGTGAAACACCAGCTTGGCCTCCCACTTTGAGACCTTACCTTGTTTAGGGGCCAGTTTGGACTCCTACTTGGAGACCTTACCTTGTTTAGGGGCCAGCTTGGCCTCCCACTTTGAGACTTTACCTTGTTTAGGGGCCAGCTTGGCCTCCCACTTGGGGACCTTACCTTGTTTAAGGGCCAGCTTGGCCTCCCACTTGGGGACATTTCGGGCAATAGCTTCCACAGCTTGTCCCGCGGCAATCCTCGTCTCCCAGCTCGGACTCCGCAGGTAGCCATGTACCTGGGGGGGAAAATAGAAACATGAGATCATCCACCAATTCCACTAGCCTTATGCCCAGGGCTAGTAGATTTTATGTCAGGCATAAGAATTTATAAAATTTGCCTGTGGGCTTGTTTTCTATGAAATGGTAGACTGCTGGCAGCACAGTTTCCACATATTTCCACACACCTACATATACAGGAGGAGAAAGACATAGGCCACTGCATGCTTTCAATTGAAAATGAAAGGATGGAAATTCAGTACGTTACCTTGGACAGGAGGTTATTAAGTTCATATGGATGGAGTTTTTGAACTTCCCCGAGTTGTTCAGCGGCTGACTTCCTAATTAGGGGCGTGGAGCCGGTGTCGAGAAGAAGAAACAGTCTATCTAATCTGCGACAACAGAGAAAAATTTAAATTGTTAAAATAAAAAGATTATAAAAATATATTTGTATCCTTCTTTTAATTTCACTTCCACTCTTAACATGTGAATTTTTTCGGTAATTTTTGGCGTGCATAAATGCAGGTACAGTAGTACATTTAATCAGATATCAAGAATTAATGCAGGAATAGAAAGTTTAAGTATCCTTTTTTGAAATAATGAAAACTATGCACTGTAGGCGCATGACCTGTCCAGCAAGGGCTGCAGGCCTGAGCCAGGGGGAGATACGAGAGGGGGGCATGGCCAGTGTCCAGCAAGGGCTGCAGGCCAGAACCAGGGGGAGATACGAGAGGGGGGCATGGCCAGTGTCCAGCCAGAGCTGCAGGCGGGATGCCAGGGGGAGAGCACGAGAGGGGGGCATGGATAACATCTTTGATATTTGTTTCTCGCTGTTCATTATAGACGTTTTGAATTGACCAACAGATATATATATATATATATGTGCATTAGAATGAAGCATTTGTGCGGCTGTTATGAATTAGGGAAAATGAAACAAATCACTAAGTCGTGGAATTGATGGAAAACAAGCATACTGAGTATTGCTGAAGCAATACATGTCCCCTACCGGCCCCCGCAATCTATTAAGATGCAACAGTGACCTCAACCTAGATCCGAGGACCTTGAAACTTGAACTTGTCCAATATATTGAAATTTTTTATAATAATGTGAAGTTTGACTAAAATCCATGAAAGAATGAGGCACTAGAGTGCTGACAAAGATTTTCTAAAATAGTAATAGTGACCTTGTCTTGCCCCGATTACCTTGAAATTGTCCAAGATATTTAAATTCTTTACAATAATGTGAAGTTTGATTAAAAACTAGGAAAGAATGAAGGCGCAAGAGTGCTGACAAACTTCTTCGGACAGACAGCGAGGAAAACTTTAGGTATTCTTGTTTTCTTCTCCCTCCCTGCCACCCCCACCCAGTTTCACCGGTAAGGGAATAAAAATACTAAGAAATCTTATTTGTTGATTGTAAAGGTATCTTTACAAGTGTGTGAAGTTTGATAAACAGGCAAGGAAGAATGTTAAATAAAATTTTCTATTTATAGTAACTGTGACCTTGACCATTTGACCTTAAAACTCGAACCTGTCCAACTCAAACTTGTCGAAGATATTTTAATTCTTTATGAGTGTGTGCAGTTTGATTAAAATCCATGAAAGAATGAAGACACTAGAGTGCTGACAAAGATTTTCTATTTATAGTAACAGTGACCTTGACCTTGATCCGATGACCTTGAAACTCGAACTTGTCAAAGATATTTTAATTCTTTATGAGTGTGTGAAGTTTGATTAAAATCCAAGAAAGAATGAAGACGCTAGAGTGCTGACAAAGATTTTCTATTTATAGTAATAGTGACCTTGACCTTGATCCGATGACCTTGAAACTCGAACTTGTCGAAGATATTTTAATTCTTTATGACTGTGTGAAGTTTGATTAAAAACCAAGAAAGAATGAAGACGCTAGAGTGCTGACAAAGTTTTTCTATTTATAGTAATAATGACCTTGACCTTGATCCGATGACCTTGAAACTCAAACTTGTTGAAGATATTTTAATTCTTTACATGTGTGTAAAGTTTGATTAAAATCCATGAAAGAATGAAGGCTCTAGAGTGCTGACAAACCTCTTCGGACAGACGGACAGACGGAGGGGAAAACTATAGTCCCCCCGGTTTCCCGGTAGGGGACTAATAAAAACAAAATGGAACTAAAACAGATATTCATGTGGCAGTATTTTGATTACAAGTAGGGGAATTTTTGACTGAAATAGAGGGAAAATAATGCCAAAATTGGAGAGGGGAATTGACCCATATTTGGTCATAAAAAGGCCTGTATATATCCATGTACAGTATATATATGTACACACGGGAGCCTTGTTAAGGAAAACCATTTTTGTACACAGTGCTTAAAATTGTGAAAAAGAATTTGAGAGATTAATAAACATTGAAAAGAAATCGGAAATATAACAACTCAAATTCATGGCTTTTTAGTGGGAAAACCAGATTACAATGAGGGCCTAAATCAACAATGCTGACTTGTATGTTTGACTTCGAAAACAAATTTTTATAATTATTTTATACAAGTACTGTGATGTAATACATGTTGCCAAAATATAATGTTCTTTAAAGAAACAGGATATTTATTTAATTGACATTACAAATGTCGAGTATATATAGTTATCGTTCTGTCGGGCCCACTTCCTTCCAGCATGAAACACTTTTCTTGATCAAGTGCCTGATTATACATGTACAGTTGACATCAGTTTGTCAGCAATATTTTAGATTATCAAATTGTCTTGTAATGACTAAATATTTAACTGTTTGTTCATAGACATGATCAGCTCAAGGGATTCTCTCATTTTAGCAACAAATTCTATGCATGGGAAGAACAGATCTGGATTTTTACAAGTATCCTATTTATTCAATATTTCAACTTTAATAACAATATAGTGAACAGTCCTCAATTTTCAATACATGAATGTCATTATATTATTACAGCGACAGAAATTGTAAACCAAACTATACTGAGCAAAAGAAATGATTTTCACCATAATTTTTTTTTAAAGCACTTAGTATTGCAAGATATTTGTCCTTTTTTTGTATATATATGTACAATGTATATATACGTACAATGTATATGACCATGGTTTGAAGTGTATTTCTGACGTTGTGATAGTGAGCCTCATTTTGGATTTTGAAGTAAATGTCGCTAAGTCCTGAATATGTATGACTATGAGATAAAGACCTTTCTGCAACATTGCAGGTCTGACAACAGAGTATTAAGTTTTGTTACGTGACTTGACTTAAACCAATCTGGCATAGGTGTTTACCTCTGAAACCTCCAAAGAGGGAGATCTCCCTCATTCCACATTTCCACCGAGGGTAAAAATGTGTGAAACGCGACTGAAACTGCTTGGCTCAATTCATCTTTCCCTTTATTATATGTGTATCAAAATAATTCCAAAAAGCATTAATTTGATTCAGACACCTGTTTTGATCATTACACACATCCTGCAGTAACTAGGAGATCATTTGACAACAGGATGTAGATTTTTTTTTATTTGTGTGAGTTTGGATTAAAATGAGAGTCTCCCTCCTAATGAGGGAGGCTTGGACAGCTATGCAATCATAATATTGGTTAATCATTGAAGATGTAGTATACAATTATAGCCTTTTGATGAGGTCGATAACACCATGTATCAACCCAAATCAAAAGGCTATTATATATCAATAACTATAAAAACTGCAATAAAGGAAAACACCACATTCGTGACATTCTTATCGTGATGCACCACAAAATCAAATGTATTGGGATCTAAAATATACGCAAATCTTCAATTTAAAAATTTGAAAATTTCAACTGATTGCAATCAAAACAAAGTTAAAGGACTGCCGTCTGTCATTTTTACCGTTTGTTGTCATGTAGTGTCAAGGTCGTTACAATTAATGTGTGTCAATACATATTTTAAGGACCACCAGCTTTGTTCCAAGCTTTTTTTGAACAGCCGATCAATATAAGTTTTAATCAGGAGTCACATGGTACAGTTCAAGCTAATCAGGAGGTGTAAAAAATATCATTTTATTGTTATGTAACAGGAGAGGAAAAATGCACGGCCAGACCGGGGTTCAAACCTGGGGCCCTCCAAACTCTAGATGGACCCTCTACCAATTGAGCTATCTGGTCGCCATCTATCGATACATTCCTCCCTCCTTTCTTTAAGTCTTCGCCCCCCCCCCCCCCCCCCCCCCCCCCCCAAAGACACAACTATTTACAACCCAGGTTCGGCTATCCCCTTGCCAAGCATACACCAAACGCTTGAAACAAGGGTTGGTCATGGCACCACTGTAACAGGAGAGGAAAAATGCACGGCCAGACTGGGGTTTGAACCCGGGACCCTTTGAACTCTACCAATTGAGCTATCTGGTCACCGACGATAGACCCAGTCCAGTTCCGTTAGATTTATCAAGACTATATAACTATACATTTCAAGTGTAAAAATTCACTTGACAGATACCTAAATGAATATTAACTCTTGCAGAAACAATACAACATTTATACTCAAATGACTATACTAGTATACATGCAAGCTATATTACTCTACCTGATATGATCAGGTTTTTGCGTCCGACAGCTGGTAGCTATAGGGTTCCATTCAGTAGCAGTTCAATTCTCAGGACATGAATTTCACCATATTGACACATTCAGGACTTGAATACTATATTAAATGTATACTATGTACAGTTAAGGATAGACAGCATCCTAGCTAATCCAGGGGTTACGCTCACTTTCGCTCTCTGCATCCCGGGAATAAGTCATAGCAAAATTGAAGGCTCGGTGTGTACCACCTTGTGGACGAGACAAGAAGACTAGTTTAATCCTTTAATGTACATCAAAAGAGTTTCCCGGTCGTGTCGTCGCGTAACATAACGGTAAAAATTGACTTGCTTTGAAGTCGGGCGTCGCTCCTTTGTAATCTTCAAAGGACAGGTATCAGTCTGGCGATTGGTCAGGGATTTTTTCCCCGAGACCAATTCCAGGGGTGCAGAGAGCGAAAGTGAGCGTAACCCCTGGAGTATCGAGGACATTGTCAGACAGTGGAACCCATTGTGATATCAGATATTATAATCAACATTAAACAGCTTACATAAAATATTTTTCACATACCGTTTTTCTCTCTTATCATTTAATTCTATTATTTTATAGAAGTTTACTTCCATTAGGAATAAACATAGCAGAAAGATGTCACAATCGTGAGCCATGTGTTATTTATTGTATATATACAGTCCAGTCATACAAATTTATTCTAATTGAATATGAAGCTAGAGGATCGTGATGAGATGTCAGTTCAGTATTAGTCCATTAGTGTGAAACTAAAATACATCTACTGGAAAAATGTGTGATTCTGAATATATTGCATTACAAGTGTCTTCAAGATATACCTGCTACAAAACATTTTTTCTATATCTTGACAGATATAATGAATTTAGCCCCCCCCCCCCTGCCAGGTGAAAAAATCATTTCAGTAATCTATGACATTTGAAACTTTTCTAAATCTGGATATATCATAATTAATAAAACGTTTCATCAACTTTCATGTATGATTTATTAATTTGCTGTTTTAAAAATGGAACAACACTGAACACTGTACATAGAATACACCATATACATATATCTATATAAGGCCTTTATTTAAGCCAGCAGACATCTTTAAGTTATAAGGCAATATATACAAGTACTTGAATACCTGGTACCAATGTATTGCGTGATCACATGGCCCGGGGTTATCCAATTATATTAAATCTGTCAGCATATAGGAAAGTCTAGATGTGGATATTTGTGGTAGGTATATCAAGACACTTGCAGTGCCATATACAGCTGTATTCAGAATTACGCTACCTTCAGTCATATTTATATGCAGAATGGCACATTGTTTGCCCAATTCCTCGCATTGAGACATTTTCTCTTGTCATTTTTCTCCAGGAATTATTCATGAACGAATAAAACGCATGGTGAAAATTTGGATAAATGATGGAATTTGGATAAATTATGGAAAATGAATGCAATATTTTTTTTTCTCAAATGTTTTTCTCTCAAATTTGCAACTTATTCGTTCAAATTAAGGTTTCTAAACATAGGAAAACATGCAATGCAGTTTTAATTTCCTGACATTTACTATTTTCATGATGGAAGTTTTAATGGTTGAAGAAGACAGCAATATCATGCACGACCCTAATATATAACTGCAAATAACAAGACACTAACATGAATCTAGTAAGGCCAAAAAAATATACATGTCTGTTTAGGGTTCCCGACTGACCCTAGCTTTTTGCCCCTGACCCAAAACTTCTGTTTTGTTGCATTATTTATAGGCAAATTGTACACCATGTATTATACACAAACTTAGCACGCACGCAAAACAGTACGTTTTTAGTACTTTCTAAGACACCAGTACCGTTCCGTACCAATAAAACTAAGCAGTCAAGTGGAAAGCTTTGAGTGGTCCAAAGGATGTGAGTAGTTTTTTTACCTTGATAAAGAAACAAACATCCAATCAGTGATGATTTTCTATTTGCTTTTGCCAAAAAAATCAGATGGTGCTAAATGTCAGCATATGGAGCACAATTTGCCTCCAAATGAACCTTGTTTATGTAATTCTTTGTTTTACATACAATAGTAGGGTCATAATCGCATGACCACACGGTACACATTTTTTTTTTTTTTTAAATCGACCTACCTACCCTTGTTTTTTTGCCCATGCAAACCTAAACAGACAAAAAAAAAATGGCCTAAGTGTGCCAACGAGGATACAGAATTGAAAAAGTCACAGAACTATAGAAAATGTCTTAATGACAGGAATGTCACAGATAAACAATCTCCCATGCACATTAAAAGTGTCATTTCTTGACAAAATTTCTATGAATAGTGATGGTGACCTTGACCTTAATTATTGGTTTCTGAAATATCAACTTATTTAAAGTATTCTCCAATTTTATCTTTCCTGGATGAAAATATATTAACAAATTAGGTTTCTTGGGTGATGTCACTAAATTAATGGAGTATATTTCTGCAAATAATAATGATGACATTGGCCCTGACCTTGAAACCCTGAAACACAAACTCTTTCAATATATTCTTGTATTTGACCTTTGTACAAAGTTTTAACAGATGAAAAGGTACTAGCTCCCGGCAAGGGTAACTATCCATTTAAATATTTAAGAGACTATGACCTTTGAAACCTAAAATTAATAGTTCACCCTTTCATGGGTGATATAATGTTGTTTTAAATATGTACACTGTAAGGTTAAAAAAGCCACCTGAATAACCAAGACAAGCTGACCTTGACATATGACCTGTGAACCCCATTATATAGCAGATCTTAACCCTTGCAAGGACGACGTGTCTGTTAAGTAACATAACTGCAAAAATTTGCCCCAGTTATCAATCCTATGTCAACGTATAAAGCAAAATCAAAAGTGCTAATCTGTAAGAATTCATATAATTCACTCCGCATTTGAGTATAATATTATCAAAATATTGCATAATTGTTGAAATGACGAATCCTTACTAATAAAAAACTCTTTCATGAAATTAGCCAAAACAGTCTTGTGGGGGAGGGGGGGGGGAATAGAGACAACCGCCATGATAGATCATGCATGATGTTATCTCAATAATCTGTTTCTAATTATTTCCTGCAAGGCCAAAAATACTACTACTACGTACATTTGTATACTGATGCCACCATGTTTTCATATCCGGTCACAACACCTTTATATAGACGTCAGACCTATATTGGAAGGGGGAAAGTAAGTTTCCAACATGGCAGTCAATTCAGAGTTCCATTGCCCTTGCTATGTTGACTTGATAATTTAACGACATTTAAAGCAGAGTTTAACTTCAAGTTACATAATATCTCAACAGAAATAATTCATATTACATACTCATTTATGGATGCAAACCAAAGTGCTGTCCGTTAATTCCAAAATCGCCCCAGTGTGATTCACACCAGGCTTGCTCAATTACAAGGCATGGGATCAATTTAATACCCGGCTGGGGAAGAGGAGACTGGGTATTATATTAAAACTCTAGTACTAGTACTAGAGTTTTAAGGGCCTGAAGTTTAAATCATGGCCCAGCTGTACTTTTTCTCTCCTTTTACAGTGGTGCCTAACATGACCAACCCTTGTTTAAAGTACTAGGGGAATATTTAGCAAGGGAATACCCGAACCTGGATTGTAAATAGTGTTGTCTTCAGGGGCAAAGACATCGAAAAAGGAAGGAGGTATGTAGTGGAACTGGACTGGTCGATCAATGACGACCAGGTAGCTCATTTGGTTGAGCGTCAGTCTTGAGTTTGGAGGATCCTGGGATCGCATCCGGGTTTGGCGGCGTATTTTTCGTCTCTGGTTACAATATAATGAACTGATGGAATTGGTTATGATCACTGGCCACTAAAAGTCAAATATACATTTTAAAGATCTTGGGGTATAGCTCTGGAAGGGCAACAGTTGTATTTATTCCATTGAACACCATCTTTTATGCATCTTTTGGTTTTATAAATAACACACATTCTACATTTTTATACTTACTTTGTTGATCTGAAACCTGTCTCTCAACTGTACCAAAACCAGACACAAAAAGCTGTGCAAGGAAAACTAAATATTACGTCTTACATTTTGGAAATTTATTCTCACAATAGTATTGATTTCGCTTTCTGTATTAAAATTATTGTCAACAGTAACCCTTTAATGGAAATGATTGACTTCCTCACTGCCTCAATATTATTTTTGGCCATCTATCAGACTATTACACACATGCATATCATATGTACATATAGGATCTTTTTCAGTTCATGACTCATGAGGAAATCTTTTCATCTGGTTGTCCTATTGTGTTACAGGGCTGGGCACTTTCTGCACTTGACAACAGGAAGCTACACTATATCCTGAATATGAATATGGTGTTGACAAACTTTATACTGCACGGCAACCATCCTACATTAAAAGTGTACATGTAATAAATACACAAATTGCAAATGTTAAAACGAAAACTAACCTTGTCGACATTTTGGACGGTTCATCTATTCGTCAGTATGTAAACACCATACCAAATTTTTCACATATGGCTCGCCAGAATCACTTATCTTGAAAAGTGACAATCGCTTGGAACGCTAAACTGGGTCATAAGTCAGTCCTGGAGCACATTGAGTCAAGAAACTCGACTGACACAATACGGATGCAAGAAAACGGAACTTCTTGGATGCACCCCCGTTCAACACGCGGTATGGGGTTACCCCAATTTCAGGAAAGAAAGTGGTGTCAAAAGTATCAAATCGAGGAGCAAAAGTCTTTAAATTAACGCAAACGATCAACAATAAGGTAATGGCATGGTCCAGGTGGTTGTTGACAGCAACAGACGATACAGATATGCATTTTCTCAGAAAACTTTTGAGCGGTTTGCCCCCGACCAGTTGTGTTTTTATACTGACTGCCATTTTGTACATCGTGCCTAAAATAGAGAGTATGGTTCTCTTTGATTGGTCAATGCGACAAGTGTGCTGGGACGATTAACCAATCAAATCATACTATGGATCAGTAAGTCAAATTCCATGGGAAGTTAAACGCATAAGTCTACAGTTAACGATGTACATAGCACGGATATTGTTTTTTTATATTTAACGCATGACCATGCACACACTGATATGTTTATTATTATTTTTTTATATATAATTGTTTCATGATTCTTACCACTAACAACGTGCATTTAAAGGGAGGTAACTCGTACTTCTCAACCTATTGTTTTGTTCATTTGTATATCTAAAAGTGTGTCATGAGGCAAATATCCTTTTATGGCCTCTTTAGGACAAAGAAAATTAATGAAATTGTATACTTCAGAAATATGAGAAGAGAAGCTACATTAATATTGTAACAATATATGTATCCATAGCATATATATATTTAGTAAAGAGAATTACACTTGATTAACATAAAGCAAGACTGGTACGATTTTATGATTTGCAAAAAAGTAACATCACAATCACTGGCTTAGAAGTAAATGAATGATCGGTAAGGTCGTTTTCTCAGTACAACTTACATTTTAAAATTAACACAAGCAAAGGGAGACACAGAAAGTTCTCGATTTAGCATCAAGGTTTTGAAAAAACAATCTAGTTTACTTAAACTTAATTACATCTAATTTTACAGAACACATCCTACATTAATTCATGGCCTTACTTAATGAAATACCATCTAAGTTATAAATCCATGGCATAAATTATGGTAACGTAGTCTAAATTATAATATATATAGCTGTGTTTATCTCTTTAATATGTCTATAAAACGTATAAATGGTTATGGGGTGGGGATCTCGACTGTTTCAAAGTTATGGCCCAGAAATTAATTCCTTAGGGATGGGGCCTGACCCAAGAATCAATATTATTTTCATGATTGTTTATGCCTCCTGATGTCCAGTAATGGTATATATATATGGGGTTGGGATACCCACTGTTTGAAAGTTATGACCCAGGGACTAAGTCTTGAAGGACGGGGACAGAACCCAGGGTAAAATTTAATATTCTAAGTGAGTCTATCTCTTGTTTTCCAGCAATATATATATATATATATATATATATATGTTGAATAAATCTAAAGAGCCCTGTGAAGGGTTAAAGCAGCTAGTTTTTTAGTCGGTCGTTAATTTTATTTTTTCTATATATATGTTATATATGGTTATGGGTTGATCTTAACTGTTTCAAAGTTATGGCTCAGGAATAGAGTCCCTCGGGATTTGGCCAGACCCCAGGGTCACTTATTATATTATGATTGTGTTCGTCTCTTGTTTCCTAACAATGTTATATATGGTTATGGGTTGATTTCAACTGTTTCAAAGTTGTGGCTCATGAATAAAGTCTCTAGGGGTGGGGCCAAACCCTAGGGTAAATTATCATATTACGATTGTGTTCGCCTCTTGATGCCCAGCAATGCTTTATATGGTTATGGGGTTGGGATCTCAACAGTTTCAAAGTTATGGTATGGATGAACAAATTAATGACCAAGGGGAGGGGCCAGGTCCCGGGGTCAATTAATATCTCATGTTTGTGGGTTTTTTTATGCTCAGCAATTGTAAACATGGTTTTAGGGTAGGGATTTCCATGTCACAGTTAAAATTTCTTGTTTGACCCATCCCTCAGATATTAGGGCTAGAAACTGGTACAATTTTAAATGTTCGCCGCCTAAAAATGCTTCTAACCAAATAGGGTTGATACCCATCACTTTGTTAAAGAGAAGATGCCGCTTAAATCAGTACGGCCAAATTACTTCTTTTTCCCCACCCTTCAGTCACTTTGGAGGGGTGGGGTCAGGCCCTCCATTTGTAAAATTTTGATTCCCCACCAACACTCTGACATGTTACACTAAAGTGGGCTAAAATCATGACCGGAGGTCATTCAAAAGAACATGAAAAAGGATTTAAAAACAATGACCCCTGTGACCTTAAAATTCTACCAAGGTCATTGAGCTGAAAACATTTGTATAGCCCTTCATCTCAGCATGCAACTTGCCAAATATCACAACCCTAAACCTTTTGTTTATTGAGATGAGGTTACTTAATGGTGTATATGCATTTAACCATTAGTGACCTTAAAAGTGGGTCAAGGTCATTAACATGAAACAATTGATACGTCTTCATCTGAGTATGCTACTGGCAAAATATCTTCACTCTATGCTGTTTGGTTATTCAGAAGTTGTTTAAAAGATTTAAACACAATGACTCCTGTGACCTTAAAAGTCTAACAAGGTCATTGAGTTGAACACATTTTATAGCCCTTCATGTCAGCATGCAACTTGTCAATTATCACCATCCGAGACTTTTTGTTTATTGAGATGTGGTCAATTAAAGGTTTATGCACGTTTGACCATGTGACCTAGAAAGTGGGTCAGTCATTAACATGAACAAGAGGCCCAATGGGCCTGCATCGCTCACCTGCTATTAATCTCACAATTGTAACCTTAAAAGTGATCTGAAATAAATCTACAGGCAAAAAAATAGTATTTACAACTATAAGTCATTCAAAAGAACCTGTTAAGGTAATTTAAATGTTTATAAATATTTGACTAAATGTGACCTTGAAAGTGGGCCAAGGTCAGTCAAATGAAAAAAGCTTGATAGCCCTTCATCCAAGCATGCTACTAAACAAATATCAACATTCTAGGCCTTATGATTATTCAGAAGTCCTTTAAAGTTTTTAACATATTTGACCCATGTGACCTTGAATATAAGTCAAGGTCATTCATTCATGAAATATTGACGACGGATGCCAGCACCACGGCATAAGCTCACTTGGCCAACGATAGTTCCCAGGTAACGATAGATCTTTACCTTTCTTTGGCACTGGAGTAATAATCCCAGTCTTCCTTACTACTGGTATAATGCGTGTCTTTACTATGGTGTTGATAAAATCTGTTAGAATAGTTATGAGCTTATTCCCACCGAGTTTAAGATGCTCCGCAGTTAGGCCTTGGCAGTCTGGGGCCTTCTTGTTGTTTAGTTTCTTGATTGATACTGTAACCTCTTCTGGAGTGTATGAGATAGGGTCAGCTTGAGGCTCCCACCCCCTAGCCTTCCATATAGCAACTAGTTCCATTTCTACAAGTGCTTTATGTGCGGCGTCAAAGCAGTCCATGTCCTTGGGCGTAGCCAGACTCGCAAAGCGTGAAGTCCACCCCTGTAGAATATCCTCGTCCCAAAATATAGGGACTCCGTCAAAATGTATGGTGCTGACTTTACCTACTTGGGTCGCCCTCTGTTTGTTAATTATATGGTAGAATAACCTCTGATCATTCCTCACGTCCGCTGTAGTTTGTCTCTGTGCCATGCTTGCATACTGTATGTCCTCGTTCCAAAGTCCCTTCCCTCTAGTACCGCTGGTCCTACAGGGAGGAATGGCCGACGTTTCAGCAGACATTAAGCTTTATCCTCCATTCTTTGTTTGGTAGTACACGGAGTGGTGTACAACTTACCAAGCAGTTTGTCTATACATCATTGATAGATGTCAATATCACATCTGTGCCATTTCGGTTTGGATGAATAGTTGCGTGTGTGTTTATTCCCCATGATCAATCTATACCTAACGACTCAGATGAAAACTTACAGTTAGTGTTATGTAGATGTCGAAATAAATAATGATTTTTCTAGACCACGAAAACGAGCCCAAACTTTTTTCAGCGACGGTATTATTTTTCACACTGCGTGCCGATTAGTAACTTATGATAACTAGTCACAGACAAAACATGATTGATTTTATTCGAAATTTTTACCTGACAGTTTTTGGTGAGTGTTTTTGATTTTATCTGATTCTTTCCGAAACATGCGAGTTACCTCCCGTTTAACGATCAGCGTTTGGTTACAGCTTATTTCAGTTATAAGTGCGCAGTTAGTACAGTATATCAGACTTATGCAGGAAAACTCGTTTGTCTATTAAACATATGGATATATGATGTTCATAGTACATCACATTTCAAACACAGGGTAATTATAGTAATTATATATCGATCATATATATTCTGTTGTGGGTTTTTAATTGTTGTTCAAAATCATGTCCGTATTTTTTCCATTTTTACAGATCAAGCAAAATAGTACGAGACGATTTTTCAGCCTGGTTTCTTCGTATATCTAAGCCAAATTTGCATCTCTAGCTATTATTATAAGTATTTTCAACACAGCAAAAAAATAAGAATATAGAAAAATATGAACCTCTCAGTGTTCCGCGTACATTCTGTGTCTGAAATGTTTGAAAAAGATTTGAAAGAGTAAAACTTTCAGTGTTTGAAACGATTTTAATCAACACATTGCTACTTTCAGGAATTATAAACTTTTCCCTGGCCTTCGATTTGTTGATAGGACGTTTGTTAAACAAAATAAAACTAAACCAAACCGAATGCCTTTCCCGTGAAATTTTCGTAACAGCAAGGCGACTGATGTTGGGACCCCCTGCAGAGTTGGGGATTGTTTTTGTGCATTCTGCTCGGAGACACGAAATCGACCAGAATAAATACACTCTATCCATTGAAACACTCGGGATCATCACACTGTGTCTCCTTTCTAACTACTTGTTCTTTTTCTAACACCTTACTTGGCGTTACCTTACATTTGACTTTAGTGTTAAGCTATGAGGGGAAGGTTATGGGTTCTGACCTGTGACAGGGTGGTCGTATGAGAGGAAGGTTATAGGTTCTGACCTGTGACAGGGTGGGCGTATGAGGGGAAGGTTATGGGTTCTGACCTGTGACAGGGTGGTCGTATGAGAGGAAGGTTATGGGTTCTGACCTGTGACAGGGTGGGCGTATGAGGGGAAGGTTAAGGGTTCTGACCTGTGACAGGGTGGTAGTATGAGGGGAAGGTTATGGGTTCTGGCCTGTGACAGGGTTGTCGGATGAGGGGAAGGTTATGGGTTCTGACCTGTGACAGGGTGGTCTTATGAGGGGAAGGTTATGGGTTCTTACCTGTGACAGGGTGGTCGGATGGCGCAGTGGATAACGCGCTCGCCTTTCACCAAGGCGGCCGGGGTTTGATTCCCCGATCGGACATGAAAAGGTATGAGGTAACCTGCCCAACCACGTGGGCTTTCTCCGAGTTCTCCGGCTTCC